TAGATAGATAGATAGATAGATAGATAGATAGATAGATAGATAGATAGATAGATGGCTTTATCCCCGCTTTTCTTAACCACTTTTATGAAATAGCCCCCAGGTCTATGTCCTCAGCAGTAAATAAATGAAGAACTTTTAAACAAGTGTTATTGTAAGGAAAATAATTAAACCATTATGTTAAATAAATGTTAAAATAACCTTTTTAAATAAAAAGTTGAAAGTTTTATTTAGATGATTGTTGATGATTGTATGCGTTTTGGCCAGATTTAGTAGCAATACATGAACAAAATAAAATTAAGACCTGTTTAAAAAAGATTTCAGACCTACAAAACAATATTTCAGTAAATTTAAGACTTTTTCAAGTCCTAAAATTTGGATTTTGAGATTTAAGATATTTTAAGACTTTTTAAGACCCGGCAGAAACCCTGATACCGAAACTTCATACTAAATTTTTTGTTATCGTTATTGACAATGGTAAACATTCAATAAATATTGATACCGATTTTATTGCCAGGCCCTAATTTTCTCTAAAAAATCTAACTTTTGCTTTTTATTTCTGTGTAGCCCTCGATCCCGTATGGTGAGGACGATGAAGATCATGTGCAATCAAATGCAATCTAAATTTGTTCTTCTCTAGTGTTTAATGTACTTCACAAGTAAAAATCAGCAATGTTATTAAATCAGAGTCTTCTAGATAAATATGTTGATTTTATTCCAGATATCCCTGTGTCTACCATTACGGTTTACCAGCAGATGGAGGACAGAAATAATGTAATGGTGACGTGCACGTCTGAAATTATGCGTTATGGCGGTTTTAGCCGCTTGTCAGTTCAAAGTGATCAAAACCACACAAAATCGCATGTACTTTCAATGAATCATGTGTGTTTATGGTGAAAGTGACCACATCAGTGTCCTTTACATGTTTACATGGGTTTGGAAATACCACAGTCCTTCACAGTAAAACTTATGGTCAGTCTACTATGGTTTACATCAATTTTATAAAGATCCGAGTTTGAGAGTCAGCCTGTCAATAATTTTATGTCTGTAACATTTTCCTTAGTTTTGGATCCACATGAGGAAGGAGTCTCTTCCATCTACTTGGGCTTTTGCTTCTTCATTGCTGTTGGTCTAATCATCATGACTGTGGCTGTAATAGTGAGCAATGCCTGGAGCAAAAATGAAAGTGAGTGATTACAAGTTAATAACGTTATAGTCTGCAGTATTGCCCAGTATGATACACCAAGTTTACTGTGAATAATTTACTTTAACAGGTCCTGCAATCACATTTACCTACAATGACTACGAGGATGCCTAAAGAACTTCTCAAATAGCCAAATTCCTGATTCTGGTATTCATATACCATTTAACAGGGTTTCTGCCGATTTCACAAAGTTAAATTTAAGACTTTTAAAGACATTTTTAAGACCATTGTGAATAAAATTTAAGGATTTGCTTTTGAATACCCCAGTTACAAAAGATTTTCACTCGCCCTATTAAATAATGATTAAAAATTAATAAATTTAATAATACAATAATAATAATAATAATTTAGTTTGACTATTTATTATTACCTTTACATTTACATTTAGTCATTTAGCAGACGTTTTTATCCAAAGTGACTTACAAATGAGGACAAGGAAGCTATTTACACAACTATAAGAGCAACAATGAATAAGTGCTATAGGCAAGTTTCGGGTATGTAAAGTTTAAGAAGCAAAACATTAGTAATGTAAGTTTTTTTTTTTTAGTGCAGTTAGCGGTGGAGCCAGAGAGGGAATTGCAGATTAAGAAGGGAAGTGGAGACTAAATAATTAAGTTTTTAGTCGTTTCTCGAAGACAGCAAGTGACTCTGCCATTCTGATGCAGTTAGGGAGTTCATTCCACCAACTGGGCAGATTGAACGCGAGAGTTCTGGAGAGTGATTTCTTCCCTCTTTGGGATGGAACCACGAGGTGACGTTCATTCACAGAACGCAAGTTTCTGGAGGGCACATAAATCTGCAGAAGTGAGAGCAGATAAGAAGGAGCAAAGCCAGAGGTCGCTTTGTAAGCAAACATCAGAGCTTTGAATTTGATGCGAGCAGCAACTGGCAGCCAGTGCAAACGGATGAGTAGCGGAGTGACTTGTGCTCTTTTAGGTTCATTAAAGACCACTTTTCATATACATCCATTCACAAACCCAATAACCCTTGCCAAGAATAGAACAAAACATAGCTGTCAATTACTTCAGTCTCAGGTCAGTATCCTCAGCAGTAAATACATGAAGAACTTTTAAGCAAATGTTACTGTAAGGTAAGTAATTAAATGCTATTTTTAAATACAAAGTTTTAAGTTTTATTTAGATTAATTGATGGCGACTGTATGGGTGTTAATGGCCAGATTGGGTAGCTATACATGAACAAATGAAAATTAGGGCCTGTTTAAAAAGATTTAAGACCTACAGCACAACATTTTAGTAGATTTAAGACTTTTCAAGGTTTAAACATAAAATCTCAGCAAAATCTGTACATGTAAACAAACATTTCTGAGTTTATCTACAGCTGTAGTTTTTGAATGCATCCAGCAGAGGGAGATGAAGCTATGCTTTAATAATGCTGTAATGTATTTTACCAAACTGTTTTATTTACTCGTAATTAGGGCCAGACGCAATCTGCTGACATTTTTTGCTATTTCTGCGCAGAATTTGAAAATCTGTGAATATATGCAGAATTAATTTGGGAGTATCATAACTACAACCTTAATATATGAAATAAAAAGTAATAACTTTTTAACCTATAATTAATGTTTATAAATGCAAATCCTATTAGATCCACTAACCCTAACCCTAATCATATACATATTTTCCTAGTCAATTACTAAAATTAATCTAAAAACTAAATAATTATACATTTACACAAGTAAATAAACAGAATCAATGATGGGCTAAAAATCTGCGGAATTCTGTGCACGCAGATTCCATGTGGGCCTACTCATAACCAGCACATTATTATATTAAATAACGTACAAAACTGTTTGTGGCATTTACTAAGCAGGTCTGCTTCTTCAGGGGTCTTGGATACTAAAAGCCCTTAAACAAAAGCCAGACCACATTAAGTCAAAATGTGAAAGCCTAATAATAATTTCACATTGCTAAATTTAGTGAATTTTCCAGTATATACCAGTATTGTGCTTGTGCTCTGGGAAGCGTTAAAGGATTCTATTTGCAACATGCTTTCACTTTTGTTGAGCAAAGTAGCCAATCAGATGTGTTCATTTCTTCAATGCAATAGACAAGCAGAGGTGTTTGCATTAGTCAATATAAAGAAAAACACATCTGGCCACACCACTGTTAGACACAATAGGGATTCACTGTCTAATTTAAATAATGAAATAATTTAGTTTTTCAAGCTGCTAGTGAGGACCCATGGCCATATAAATGCTGCATTTTCCCTTGAAATTAGTTTTTTTCTCTTTTCTATTTACTATACTAAGTGGACTAAAGCAAGGTGAATGAGGTTCTAGGATATAATTGCCCTGTGTTTCATCAGTATTAGTCATACATGCAACAAACTTGTTCTGTGCTGAGCTGCCGGCCAGAATCTATACTCTAAAACAGCTGATGAACGTGGCACATTCACGTTTGCAAGTATACTGTAAATCTGGTCAAACCGTAAGGGAGAAAATTCTTCACTCGCTAGAGTCGCTAAGGTCTGCCTGCCGAAATCACAGATTAGCACCTTAGCAAAGCAATAAACTGCTGAATAATTAACTGAATGAACATATATGGAAATTATGATTGGCATCACATTGTTATAGGTAGACATGATGAACCAGCTGAATGTCAACAGATGTGGTTTTAAACGGGAACGTGCAATAAATGTGGATGTGGTCCACAGAACTGACCCGAATCAATGTTGTTCAAAAGTGAGATCTGAACCCATGTAGAACCGAGAAATGTCTTGAATATACCTGACAGACACACACACGCACGTGCATACGTACATGCATGCACGCACTCACGCACGCACACACACACACACACACACACACACACACACACATAGATCTCTACATTTTATTTCTTATAACTACCTTTTATTCATTCAATACTTTCATTTTATAACACAACTTGTGTGTGTGTGTGTGTGTTTATATATATATATATATATATATATATATATATATATATATATATATATATATATATATATATATATATGTGTGTGTGTGTGTGTGTGTGTGTGTGTGTGTGTATGTGTTTTTGTAACATATCAGAACACAAATCTGTATAATGACACAGGTCTGACACAGGTATTACAAAAAGGAGGTGAAATATGAGGACATTGGTGACGTCCTCATTTCTCAAAATGCTTATAAATCCTACAGGATGAGTTTAATCAGAGAGTAAAGCTGCACACAGACTCCTGTGATGGTTGGGTTTAGGGGTGGGGTGAGGGCAATATAATATATGGTTTGGACAGTATAAAATGAATGGAAACCTATGTAATGTCCCCAATTTTCACAAAAACAAACGGTTGTGTGTGTGCTTTTTAATTAATTATTAGTCAAATGTGATTTTTAAACATTAATTAAAATTTTGTATTATTCTCTACTGTTCTCTGCAACATCTTTTTACTATGCTAGTTTGCGTCTTACATTCATGTATATTCTGCATTTGACTTTTCAGCTTATTTTAATGCCTAATAACTGTATTGTCATATGCAGTTTAATTGTATTGCATAATAAAAAGAGCATGACACTGCAAGAAAAACAACGCTGCGATTATTTATAATAAATCATATTATTGTTTACAGACAGCCATTATCTACATTTTCTATGAGTGCATTTTAAACCTCTCGAACAAATTTTTCACCATGTAGATTTTATTAGGATATTTTCATCCTCCATTATATGCAGAATCACATGCAAGGTCTCTCTTCTCTCCCTCTCTCGCGTCTCTGTTTAGAGTAACCGTGAAGCTCCTCCTCCACCACCTCCTCCTTTTCTCTCTCTCTCCCTCTCTGTATCTGTGCATCTCTGCGCTGGTGTTTGGTGGCAGCGTTTCTCTTCACTGCAGGGGCAGCTTCATTCTCTCCTCCAGGATGTCGGGCCTTCTGAGCAGCTCTCTTCTGTTTTTCCTTTCCCTGACGCTGTTCCAGATCCACACACCAGAGGCAAAGGTAAACCAAACAGCACACCAGGCCTTCATCATGCGTGTATGCTGAGAATGACTCACTCTGATGGCTGCATGTTTTCCTCATTGTCTCTCTATGCAGTTAGACGTGTGCAACTGATATTATTAAATGTTGATTGGATTTAAAGGGTTTCCACATTTAATTTAAAATTTCTGTATGTATCCTTCCACATATACTGTATTTTAAAGATGTGAAAGCACGCAACGTCCTATTTGGCTGCTTTTTGCTTGGCTGCGTGTTAATTTCTACACAAGTAATATTTCACTGAGAGCAATGAGATCACTCGAGCCAGATGGCGTGAAATAGGGCGTACAAATCATCATCGCCTGGCAAAACCAGCGCACACATCAACAGGGCTTTACTGTGGATCCTCCTGATTAAATTCTGGAAATTTCTCAGAAACTCAAAGCGCATAAATGGATGCTCAGCTAAAAGCTCACATGAAAAGATCAAATTGAACATGACGTGCATCTTTCAATCACAGCTCCACGTTATTAAAGGATGGTAAACAGACTAGGGCTAAAAATCAAACATCTTGATTATTCTGTGATATACATTGCAATATGAATCAATCTCACCAGATGAGTTGAACATCTCTATTTGGAAATAATTTATAATTTTATATTTGGATGATTCTGTAAGACAGTGCATCTGCAAGAAATGTAATCAATAATCTACAATTTTAGATGAATTCAATAAAGAAAAAAAAGATACAAATAAAATAAACAGCTTTATTGTTTTCCATAGAGTCTTAACACTTTTTCAGGTATACAGTAACTGAATAATCAGATGTAAAATAATACTGCGTAGTCTTCGATGTATAAACATTATCAACAAAATTAATCATTATAAAAGTTAAACAGTGCAATTTCTTAGACCTGGATGCTTTTAAAATCCTCAAATAGTCACAGGCGTTAAAAATACTTGCAAAATGATCTATTATAATCCAGACTCAACATTGTAGATCCTGCGTTGTAACTACTGCGAATGCTCACATTGTGATATCGATGCTGAAATGACATATTGTGCAGCCCTAAAACAGACTCCTTATAACAGCCGATGTGACGTCGTGAGTGCTTCTTTCTTGGCTGATTAGAGCAGGACTGTTCTATGTGTTATTATAGAGTAAACATAGATCTACAGATTTAAATTCAACGCCAAATGTTGTCGTTATCTGCAAAATGCACAGGTCAAAAAAGAATTAATTTTATTTAAACCGTAAAAACAAGAATTAATTTTTTTTCAACAATTTTGAAGGGGTGATTTTAAACAAATAGCATTTAGTAATGTTCAACTTTGTTTGTTTAAAAGTTTGCAATATAAATATAAACCCATATAAATTGTTAGCAAACACTTACTTTAAAAATATTAAAGGGTCACGAAACACCAAAACACATTTTTTTGAGCTGTTGACAGTCGTATATATGTCACACACTCCTATAAACACTATTAGGACATATAAATTTCACTAAAATGTGAAAATTGGTTGTTTTTGCGTTATTTTGAGCAAATTCGTACTTTCGGTTTGAAACAAATTTTTGAAGCTGCGTCACGGCCATGAGCTCTCATGAGCGTGTATTCCAGCGTGCAGACTGGACGTCTGTAAAAGGGTGTCCCGTATTACATCTCTGAGTGTGTTGGATTCATTCATTCATGAGTAAAGCTTTGTTCAAACCAATCAGCGCGCTACATTATGTATGCGCTGCAACTTCATTAATATGCATGCTAGCTTTCTTAGACTGTACCAATTTTCACTTTTTAGTGAAATATAGGTGTCCTAATAGTGTTTATAGCAGTGTGTGACACATATACGACTGTCAACAGCTCAAAACAATGTGTTTTGGTGTTTCTTGACCCTTTAAGTAAATCCATTGTATTTTTGTCAATGTGGCACCAATATGAATAATCCAAGCCTATGAGATGTTTTTGGAAATGTTTTATAGTTTGTTGATATGCAGTTGCCTGTAGGCCTGTCAGGATAGGGAATTTTTCATTCATTCATTTTCTTGTCGGCTTAGTCCCTTTATTAATCCGGGGTCGCCACAGCGGAATGAACCGCCAACTTATCCAGCAAGTTTTTACGCAGCGGATGCCCTTCCAGCCGCAACCCATCTCTGGGAAACATTCACACACACATTCACACACACACACACTTCACAATTTAGCCTACCAAATTCACCTGTACCGCATGTCTTCGGACTGTGGGGGAAACCGGAGCACCCGGAGGGAAACCCACTCGAAAGCAGGGAGAACATGCAAACTCAACACAGAAACGCCAACTGAGCCGAGGTTCGAACCAGCTACCCAGCGACCTTCTTGCTGTGAGGCTACAGCACTACCTACTGCGCCACTGCCTCGATATTAGGGAATTTTTGTTGTGTGATATTTTGTCACAGAAATTGTTGCGATAAGCAATATTATTGTCAATTTATTTCCACTGATTATGTAATGATTATATAACAGCATATTAATGCAAACAGCCATAAACACTGTAAAATACTTCTCATTCTTAAGCTTATTTAAAGTCTACACTTAGATGTTAAAAAGATAAACGTCCTACGAGGTAAATGTTCAGTTATCAACTTTGACACTGGGAAGGGAGGATGTAAATGTCATTGTTAAATGGCTTTAATGTTATTTGTGAATCTGTGTATATATATATATATATATTGCAATTGCAAAAATGACTGAGGTCATCTCCAAGTATTGCATGGTAAGTCGATATATTGATTATTGTGACAGGCCGAGTTGCCAGGATTTACAACTGATCTCTTGTACTAGGAAAAAAAAGCTTTTTAAATCAAAATAGCTCATAAAGATAAAATATTGAAAGCTTAATAGTTTACTAGCAATTCTTAGACCAAATGTAAAAACAATAAATTTTAAAAATGTATAAATAAAACAAAGAAACAAGAAAATATTAGTAGTTTTTATACAGTTTTACAATTTGGCATAAAAAGTTTCCTAGTAATAGTTTCGAGCAATTTCTGATTATAAAAAGGTTTTTACACCAAAATTTCTTTCTTTGAGAAATGTATTAAACATTTTATTTCATTGATCCAAATGTACTAAAATGCATTTATCATTAAAAAGTTAAGCTGATAGTTCAGCTTTTGGATAGATGTGTATTAAAGTAATTTACTGAGTTTGTTTGCAATCACTACTGTCCATGCGCACTCACATTTTCAGGACCACGGACAGCAACTCTGTCTCTGAATCTGAGCCGTGTTTAGCTGCATGTAAACGCCATAGTGATTTTGGGAATTATGGGCCATATCTGAAGGACAACAGAGGATAAAATCAATAGCGGAGGAAGCACAATCTCATTAGCAGAGCAAACAGCCGCTCTTTCACTCCAAGCGGAGGAGGAAAGCTGCCATGGCAACAGCTTTCAGAGAGCACACTCAGTTTTCTCACTTACATCCATCCATCTTTCCAGCTATCTATACTGTCAAATTGTTTATCAGGTAACCTAAAGTGTGCTGCATCGTCTTCATGTATATTATGTTTTATTCCAGAAAAGATTTAATATGACTAAAAGTGTAACATACTGTAACAGTTTTTATGTAATGTGACTGGACGCTGATAAAGGAGTGCAGATCCAAATGCAGGCTTATTTAACAGAATGGTCAGGCAAGCAACGGTTAACACAGGGCAGATGTATAGGCAATCCAGAGTCGTGGTCATTAATCAGGCGGATGGTCAAAAGGCAAGAAGCAGCAGGAATAACAGTAAAATAAAGAAAACAAAGTGAGGGTCAAACCCGGCAAGGCAAGAAAAACGCATCGTAAAAGTTCACAATACAGTTTAACAGACTCAGCCCAGATGTGTGTGTGTGTGCGCTGTATTTAAAGTCCATGTAATCAGTCCATAACAATCCTCCGGCTGTGTGTGTGCTCATGTAATCAAAGTGAAACAGGAACCGATGTGTACAGTACAAAATGCATGATGGAATATGTAGTCCATCATGTAATGGCAAATATGTAGTATATATATTGGCAATATATGGCAATCTGCAGCCACTAGATCGCTGATAATCCTAACATTTTATCACTTAAAATAATTTTAATAAATTATTATTACTTAAAATAATTTTAATAATGTTATTTTAGTATTAATTATGGCAATGCGGTGGCGCAGTAGGTAGTGCTGTTGCCTCAAAGCTAGAGGGTCGCTGGTTCGAGCCACGGCTGAGTCAGATGGCATTTCTGTGTGGAATTTTCATGTTCTCTCCGTGTTGGTGTGGGTTTCCTCCGGGTGCTCCGGTTTCCACCATGATCCAAAGACATGCGCTATAGGTGAATTGGGTAGGCTAAATTGTCCATGGTGATTCAGTGTGTATGTTTCCCAGAGATGGGTTGTAGCTGGATGGGCATCCGCTGCATAAAACATGTACTGGATAAGTTGGCGGTTCATTCCGCTATGGCAACACCGGATTAATAAAGTGACTAAGCCATAAAGAATAAGAACAAATAAATGAATAGTAATAATTATCACATAAAAGTATTACAGTTTAAAGTAATGTTTTCATTTTAATATAAGTTTTTGTATTAAAATTTTAGTTTAATTTTGTTATATTTTAACTTTTTTATTTATGTATATGTTGTATTTTTATAATTATATTTTTTATTTTGAGATTTAAATAAACAGAAAAAAAGAAAACATACATTTCAAATTAATATTTTTAGCCATTTTATTTATATTTCCAATTAATAAAAATTAATGGATTATTATTCAAATTATGGCTGCATGATATTGGGGAAGAAAATAATAATCGTACACTGTGTTTTTTTTTTGTGATATACATTTTAATGTTTTTATTTTAATATTATATTTTGTAATTTTTGTGTGTTTTAGAACTTTTTATATTGATATGTTGTCTTTTTTATAATTTAATTTTTTATTTTGAGATTCAATTTTTAAATAAGAAAAAAGAAAACATGCATTACAAATTTATATTTTAGCTGTATTATTTATATTTCTAA